CCCCCCAGGCCCCAGTTTTTCTCCCAACCTCCCGAGCCCCGACGGAGAGGACAGGGTCTGTGCCCGCACGCCAGCCTCCCCTGTGCGCCCCCAGGCCACGACCTGGCCCCCTACCCGTGGGCTGCCGCCGCTGGTGGTAGATATGCAGGGCTCCGCCCTTGTCCACTCTGGTGACCACCTGGTACTCGGTGCTGTTGAAGCGGTTGACCCGGATGACGCTGGTTTTCTGCTGAGCGTTGGCGTTGTCCGAGTTGGTGGCGTACAGGTAGTTCTCGAAGACGGTCAGCCCGTAGAGATGCTCGATCTGAAAAGCACCGTGCCAGGGTGAGCGTGAGCAACCCCCGGGAACAGAGCCCGGGTCCCTGCCTCTCCCAGTGCCCGGGGTGCTGCTTCACGGGGCAGCCTCCAGGGGGCGATGGGAAACCACACACACACCCCTGACCCGACTAGGGGGCAGAGGCTGGCGGAGCTGGCGCATGCACGCACACACTGCTGGGCAGGGACGCGCTTTTCCCGCCCCGCACGAATATCCCAGATTTCAACAACACATTTCCCGCCCGGAATCCGGATGAAAAAAAAATCCAAATCTCAGAACTTTTCCCAAACTAGCCATCTCCGCTGCTCCCCTTCCCCGACCGGGTCAATTTCAACCTTTAAACCAACCTCCCCTTGCTTCGCTGTAGGAAATCGCTCCGCTCTCGAAGCCTTTGTGTTGAAAATCTTTGGCCAATTTTGAATTCCTCCTCTGCCCCCAAAAATGTTTCCAACTAGGAAAGCCTTTGTGTTGAAAAACTTTGGCCAATTTTGAATTCCTCCTCTTCCAACTGGGAGACTCCCTGAACCTGCCCCTTTCCACCAGCTCTTCTGGGCAGCGAACACAGACAAGGGCAGCTGCTGGGGGCTCCCAGAGAGAGCTGGGTAACGTCCACTAACCCAGCCAGCCCAGCATGGCTCTAATGCTCCTTCGCCACGGCTAACCCACGGGGGACGAGAGCAGGCCGATGTCGCCTCACACTGACCGACCTACCGACCTCAGCCACGTCGGACTTCAACCAGTCTCCCCCACCCGCTGTTTGCCCCAGGGGTTAAAAAGCCCTTGTCCAATGAGGCCACAGTGCCGGCACACGACCCCTTGCGGCCGCAGCCAAGGGGCTTAGGAACCGGCGTGGCCCCGGCAGGAGCGCTGGCTCGCGGGTCGGTTCGGGAGATTCTAGCACCTGGCCCAGGCCTGCGGGGAAGAGCCGGGATGAGGCGTCTGGCCGGCCCCACAGTACCGCCCCTCGCAGCTGTGCCAGGCTGGGCTCTGCTCCCCGGGGGCGCTGGCTCAGGGGCCGGGGGCGGGGCGGCGCTCACCAGGATGCCCTGGATGATGGTCTGCCGGTTCTTGCCTTCGTAGTCCACCACCTCGATGTAGTCCAGGTAGGCGTCGGCCCAGTAAACCAGCCGGCTGACCAAGTCCAAGGTGATGCCGTGCGGGAAGACGATCTTGCTGTCCACCAGCTTGGTGCGGTTCTGCCCGTCCATGTCGCAGCGCTCCACCTTGGGGATCTGCCCGTAGTCAGTGAAGAAGACTTTTCTGGGGGAGGAGGGGGCACACCTGCACACCAACACACACACGCCCATGCATGCCCCCAAGGCACGCACGCCCATGCACACCTGCCTGCCAACACAGGCACGCCCAAGCATGCTCCCCCAGCGCATGCAGGCCCATGCACTCCTGCACACCCACGCACACAAGCCCATGCACACCTGCACACCAACACACACACGCCCATGCATGCCCCCAAGGCACGCACGCCCATGCACACCTGCCTGCCAACACAGGCACGCCCATGCACACCTGCCTGTCAACAGAGGCACGCCCATGAATGCCCCCGATGCATACACGCCCACGCACACACACACACATACGCCCATGCACACCTGCCTGCCAACACAGGCACGCCCATGCATGCTCCCCCAGCGCATGCAGGCCCATGCACTCCTGCACACCCACGCACACAAGCCCATGCACACCTGCACACCAACAGAGACGCCCATGCACACCTGCCTGCCAATACAGGCACGCCCATGCATGCCCCCGACGCATACACGCCCACGCACACCTACGTCCATGCATACCTGCATGCTAGCACAGGCACACTCATGCATGTGCCTCCATGTATGCACACTCACACAGGCCTGCACAACCACATATGCACACCCATGCGTACCTGCCTGTCAACACTGGCTCCCCCAGCACATGCAGGCCCATGCACGCCTGCATACCTGCGCATGCACGCCCACACACGCCTACACACCCACCCACATTCACCCATGCACGCCTGTGTGACGTAGCGTGGGTACCTTGCTGGTTGCTAGGCTTGGGTTGTGAGTGACCTCCCCTGGCTGCTGCCTGCAGCACAGCCCAGCAGGGCAGGGGATGAGTCATTATGCAAGGGGGCTTCGAACCCGTCTGACCAGTATCTCCCAGGGAGCAGAACGATGAGAAGAAGGGGAGTGGAGCCCTGGCTGGGGGCAGGGCTGGAAGTGAGGGAGTGAGGTTTCTGGCTGGTATCATGGAGGAAGCAGCCTAGGCAACGGGCTGGGATTTAGGGGCCCAGGCTCCCCCATCTCAAGGGGGGCTGAGGCATCCTAGGTCTGCCCTGTAACCAGATTCCATCTGTGCTGGGCTGCATCCTGGAGAAGCAATAAACCCCCTCTGTTCTACTGGCCGGTGGAGTCTGTCTGTGCCATTACGGGGGAACCCCAACGCGCCGTCACAGCCTGCCTATGCACGCCCGCACACACCTGCACACCCACACACATACACTTATGCC